CCTAAAAAATTTGGAAATTCGCTAAATATTTAGTAAATAAAAGTAGCAAAAGCGGAAGTGAAAAAGGAAAAAAGTGAAAGCGCTACAACAAGTACAAGCAGAGTAGAGGCGAGCAGCAGGAAATGTGGTCAGTGAAAAATTTTTGCGCTAAATTGAAAAACAAATGCAGCTAATTAGCTCGGACAATCAGAGCGAAATTCGGTGCAAGCAATATTCGTAGCATTAACTACAACAACAACAACAACAACAACAACGGCAATAATAATTTTAACGGGCGCAACATAATTTACAGAAGACGTAGGAATTTGTTGTGGAAAATGAGTGGCTGTGGCGGTGGCGGTGGCGGTTGTGGTGGTGGTGGTGGTGTTGGTGTTGGCGGCAGCGCGCGTTTGGTAGCCACGCAATCACTGCAGAATGAGCACGCCGAAGCGCTACTGGTGCAGCTTAATGAGTTCCGCAAAAGTGAGCAGGTAAAGTATGCCAAGCCAAGCATATGTAGGTGAAGGTAGACATTTTGTGTAAGAAAATATTTAAAAAATCTTTGTTTCTGCAGTACACCGATGTTTGTTTAATTTGCGGCGATGTACGAATTATGGCCCATCGAAATATACTCGCCGCAGCGAGTCCCTATTTCCAGGCGATGTTTGGCGGTAAGCGCTCTTTCAGTGGTTACGGTGAAAAGTGTGTTGAGAGCTTAACTGAATCTTCTATTTTCGCAGGCAACTTCCCGGAAAGTTCACAGCGCGAGGTGCATATCCACGAAATGGATCCGCGTTGCTTGGAGCTAGCAGTGGATTTCATCTACACCGGCCACCTCGATAATTACGTTGATTGTGTGCAACAGCTGCTCGAGACTGCAGCCTTTCTTCAGCTGGAACATTTGCTCGACTTGTGCACGGGATATATGTGCGCGCAGCTGGACGCAGATAATTGTTTGGGGTTTAAGCATTTTGCAGGTGCGAAGTCAGCTATATATGTATATATTTTTTATAATACTTATGCCGAATTTCCACTAGGCATTGAGCTGACAAAAAATTTGTGTCATTCAAAAAATGCCATTTGTCATTACAATTTTTCACATTTAATGCCTAGTCGAAACCTGGCATTAGTCTAATGGTCACTTGGTTAAATTTGTTTCTTTCAGAAAAGCAAAATAATTTTACGTTGCTCGACTCGGCATGCCAATACATTATTACACATTTCAAGGAGGTGGTGCAGAGTGAAGAATTTTTGGAGATGACATACTTGGAGGTACGTATTTCGAACCAAAGTTGCATGTAAATTTACGTTCCTACGTCGTATCCTTGCTTCTCTGTAAAAGAAGTCTGTAAAAGAAAAACCAACTGTCTTCTCAGTTGCTCAGCATTTACGCTTTTAAACCCCTTGCCAAGTTATTCAATAAGCTGTGAATTATTTTAATGGTAAATAGATGAATATGATGCGACCAAGAGGTCTAAGAGGCCCTCAACTATTTACGGTAACTCATCCAACTCATGATACCAGGGTTCAGCGTTTGTGTGAATTCAAAACTTGGTCAGAGTTGGCCTAGATATCTCACCCGTCTTTATTTCCCACCGACTCGATCTCACGATGAAGGTGTCCTGGAGTCTACTCGAACGAATCACAGAAGCGACACCAAGCTTATGCAGGTAACTTCTTAGCCCCCCCGTGACCCGTCAGAATACCTGTCAATATCCTCAGCTTCTCCCTGGGGAGGTTTATAATTTCCCCCGTAGTCTGTAAGGTAGTAAGAGTTTAGTCCAGCGAAGACCCAGAGTTTACGTCAGTACTGTTCGCTGAGTTTGATCCTCTCCTTTCTAAGTTCTTCCTTGATGATGCCAGCTGCGATCGCAAAGAAGGATCAGACCCTATGGCAGACAAGGTGGCCGCCGTTCTAGCTAGCCGTTCTGCTTCCTCGTTACCCTTAACCCTAATGTGTCCTGATACCCAAATTAGTAGGTTGTTGCTGTGGTCCGTCAGTGAGACGTACACTTTTGGGTAACCAAAGTAGAGCTCAGCATCAACGTAGATAAGACAGACACAGTACCCTTTAACAGGAAATATAAGATTCAAAACTGGTCTAGACATAAGCTCGGTGGAGCGATCCTCTGAAAGACGCAAGGAGGAGGTGGAGGAGACGGCTGTACATGGGGCTTATCTCTTATTGGCACTTCGCAATTCGTCAATATTTTTTTGAATTGCTCTAATTCCGAAATTTTTGTTCAGAATTTTCTAACCATTTTAGTTTTTTTTTCCCCCAGCTCAGCAACATTTTGGCCAACGATGCGCTCTATGTACACTCTGACGACGCTGTGCTGTGCGGTCTGTCCCGATGGGCTGAACATCGACCCACCGAGCGCACTGCCAATTTAGCATCGCTATTACGTTACATACACCCCGCCTGCGTGACGGCTGAGGTAGCACGCTCACTACCCATTCTCAAACAGAGCGCTGAGAGTCAAAATTGGTTACGCGATATGTTGCATAGCGCCGATAATATGGAATGGCAAATATTTGTGCTGGACAAAATGGGACGCACCCCGGATCTGCAGCGCTTCGACTTTACATTCGATGAGGCCACGCAGCTGCAACCGTTGCCTCGCCCAGCATTCGCCGTGAGCTTGACGGCTCACAAGAACATCTTGTATGCGCAGGGTGGCAGTGTTGGACGCAGCACACGCGAGTGCTTCTACTATAATATCTATCGTGATCAATGGCATGAGCTGCATCCGTTGTTGATGGAACGTTCGCATCACCGGTCGGTTGTGTTGAATGGGTGTTTGTATGCGCTCGGTGGGAATACACTGCAGGGTGCGACCTGCTCGGTGGAGTGTTTGAATTTGGTTACGAATAAGGCGACGTTCCGTGAAAATATGCTGGCGAAACGCAATGCAATGGGCGCAGTGGTTTGTGGTGAGTTTCATCCGTATAAACATACTTTGTCCATACGAGTAGTTTATGCCAATATTGTTTCTAAAACAATAGCCCTCTTCTCCATTTTTACAGACAACACTCTCTATGTAATGGGCGGCGAGACAGATCATCGTTCACTTTACTCGGTGGAGCGCTACGACCCACGCGTCGGGCAGTGGCATGAAATGCCCGCCATGCGCGAGGTGAACAGCTATTGCTCCAGCGCGGCCATCGGTTCGCACATCTATTGCTGTGAGGGTCTCGGCAGTTGTATGGAACGTTTCGATTTGCGCGCCAATCGTTGGGATGTCATCAATTTCTGGGAGGAGCGCGAGTTCTATGAAATTTTCGCCGTTGACAATAGGCTCTATAGTGTTTCGGGTGAAGCCATCTCCCGCTACGATGAGACCGAAAACAAATGGCTGTGCGAGTTTAAGTTCACGGAATCACGCGAATGGGACACTGCTATTGGCTTGCAGATGGTGAACTATTTGAGAATATAAAAAGTGGAGGGAAATGTGAGAAGAAATGTTAAAAGAAGAGTGAGAAAAATGTTTGATTGTTGGTTGGTGAAGAAAATGCAAAGCATCGCTTTTTTTGTTGGCCGCAAAGGCGTTCGGAAGTATTTAAATTTTTTTGTTGTGTTGTGCATACAAAATTATTGCACTTTAATAAGTAGTCTTCATAGTTATTTAATAGGAATAATTATATAGATATAGACACGTACTTGCAAATGTGTGTAAACACACGAATCGAAAAAATGGCATTGCCACCATGGCGTATGAGTGATTTAAACCGCATTCGTATTATGTATATGTATGAAAAAATTATGTAGTTTAACGATTAATATAAAATTATTGTTGATACACACGCTGTAAATTGTATTGCAAAGTGACTTTGAGGTTTTAAATTTGATTAAAATAAATTTTAAAGTTAATTACTTCCAATTACATAAATTGTGCCAATTTTTATTTTTATTTTACTCGATGGCGGGATGTGCAAGGGGTACTTTTTATTCTCGTACTTGTGATTTAACCACGACTTCTGAATTCGGATTGTAGGTTAATCAAACTGGCCTTATGCGATACATAGAGCATTTTGTCTCTACTGTGTTACTAGAAGTGGTTCGAAGGTTAAGTAGATTTATACTTATAGTCCGAGTGTTGACATCATTTGGGTTGCGCTTCTGGCGAATCCAAGGAGAATTTCTTCAATTTATAGGAAGGCCTAGAAAATGGACCAACGGCCGTAATTTCATGTAATAAATAATATATATAATTCTCATATAATAAATATTAAGTTAAGTTGCGGAAATTAAGTGTAGACTAACTGAGCTTTAAGCGTGTACCGTATAGCAATTAAAAGTGTATTTGTACATATGTATTTATGTATATATGCGCCTTATACAAATGTTATTTATTTATTACCTGAAATCTGCAAGGAAAGTCAGTTGTATGAAACAATCCATTACAAAATATGCGCAAATATATGTTTATAAGCGGTTTACTTACAGCTGGCGCCTAAATGCGGGCAACATTTGATATCTACACAGCGGTCGCTAGCAACATGTTTCTGGGAACATGTTGGCGGTGCTAATTTTTTGGATGTACATATTTTGTTTAATGGGATGTACTGCTTAATATGTAGTAGTACCCAGGTATGCACATTCATCCAAAGAACGCATTTTGGCGCCATTTTGATGAAATGGGTTTTTATGTATGTTAACCCTAGATTGCTTCAAGTATGTAACTACTGATGGATTCGCTAGTGGTGTCAACATGTGCTTTCGTGGTACTTTTTTACATTGTATTTTCAAGAACAGGAAATGTTCGAAATTTTATTTGCTATCTTAAAGCAGTTGGCTTCCATTATACATAGAAATGTTTTAGTTTCGAAGCACTTTTGTGTAGAGGTGAGTGCCTCGTAATCGCTGCCGCTACCCTACACATTTCTGTGCTCCATATATTAAGCAGATCCGAGGTCTTCGTGTGATTTTATAAAGTCAAACACAAAATTCGAACAGTCTCAGTATGATGTGTGAAAAGTCAATATTCCTAGGGAAAAATTTAAGAAAGACAGAAGTAAAAAAAAAAACTGAATACGAATCCATGGAAACATTTTAGTAGCCATCCTTCCGTCCTCGATACAAAAAAAAAAAAAAAAAACATTTAATTAAAAGAAAAATTTTGCTAGCACAATGTATGTACTACTTATGCATGCACTGAACGTTTTGTAGAAATTTCTTTGAGGGAAGACGTTGTAACCGGTAAATTAATGGACACAGTCTTGATTGGGTTTGCTTGAAAGAACTTCATAATCCACAAAAAAATAAAAAATTACATCAAAATGCAATGCAGATATGGCCTTGAATTTTAATTTCTTAAATTGTGTAATAAATTTATGCGCTTGCCGAAGCGATGTATTCCGCACCAATACAATACTACATACATACATAGTTATATAAATTATTAGGAAGACACCGCAGCGTATACTTAACCTTTGCGTTCCGTGAATGAAATAAAACAAATTACAATTTCATTTAAATTTAATTCGCCTAAGCATCGATTGTGTGTGTGTGTGTATACATATATATTTTAAATACATAGCTTTATTATAATAATGATTTTCGTAATAAAATTTCATCGATTCATTAATATATGTATAATTCGTTTACAAACTAAGCATAGCATATATAGCAATGATTATATTTTTTACAGAAAAATTATTAAAACAAATATAAGACAGAATAAAAGTGAGAATAAGATGAAAGAAATCATACACTAATATATACATATATGTATGTATGTATGTATGTATGCATAAAATTAGTGCCAAGTAGTACAAAAAGTGGTTTAAGTTTTAAAAATTAAAAAAAGTTATTTTTTTTTTTTTTTTTTTCTTAAAGTGTAAACAGCTATAATTTTAAATTGAAATTGAGGGTTGAAATCGCGGAATTGATTCTTACTTACAGATTGCTATTAAAAAGGTTAAAAGCATTAATTTATTAAGAAATGTAATATTTTACACGGATACATATACATAAATAAATAAATTCTAATTTTTAATTTTGTAAGTGTGTGCACATATGCAATTATGTACGTGCAGTTGCATGCTTAGGTATTTATGTGTGGAAGGGTTTGTTTATACATTTAGGTACATTTAACTCCATTAAAGATTTTTAATTTTTTCAAATGCCTAACAGTGATTATTTTGTTGCGGTCTTTTTTTTCGTAATTTGAGTGTATGTTTTATTAAAAAATTTACTTAAATATTTTTGAATTCATTGCACAAAAAAAAATTTCGTATTAAAAAGCTCAGAAAAAACTTGTTCTTAAAATTTTTGTTCTTAGATTTTTTGTTTAACATGTATACTTATTGATTGACCCGATGTTAAAAAGTTAAAAAAAAGTCAGCAATTAAGTTGCAGAAAATTGTACCAATTTTTTAGGTGAAGCGCAAGCTTCTTAAATTTCTACAAATTAATAAAGTCACAAACTTAAGCTCATCACTGTTGTGATTTCTACTGCGCCTCAAAGTTTGCCACTGCAACAGATATGTGCTACAATACTAATTTTTAAGTTTTTTTGTATTTTTCCAGCACTTAAAATCGAATTTTTGTGCCACATTTTGCGGCAGACTAGAAATCAGAACAGTAATGAGCTGAGTTTTGTGATTATGCTAGAATAGAGGTGTTAGAGGCGCTTTCAATTTTAGATGTTTTGATTGTTTTTGTATAAATTTTTGAAGAAAAACAACAAAAAACAACAAAAAAAACGAACAAATTAAATTTTTTTTTTACTTTTTGTTCAGTTTGCTAAAAAATTGCAGTTAATGCCAATGATGCCAAAAACTTAAAAAGCCTAAAAAAACTTTTTTCCTAATCTTTTTCAGGTTGCTTTCAAATTTATGTCAGCGACTTATTCACATGAAATTGGTGTTAGAGCTAGCTACAAGCCAATTTTATTTTGCCTTTCCACTCAAAGCTGCCAATTTTTTTTTTGTTCAATATATTATTTTAAAAACAGGCAAAAAATTCACACCTTGCCAAGCATGTATGTATAAGAAAAATATATGTTGATATTATTTTTTTTTAATTTTTATTAGTTGCACATAGAAATTATAAATAAATATGTATATTCAGCGAAAAAAAACTATATACACAAAAGTCATATAACCTAATTTTATAGAAGAGCAAATAAAATATGTAGATATGTATAATATGTGTATGTGGGTTATCATGTATGTATGTATATATTTGCATGTTTAATTATAATCATGTAATTGTGTTTAAATACAAAGTGTTAAATAAGATGCTTAAATATAAAGATATAATATTACAATTAATTTTTTGTTTTCTTGTACGCTTAAGCATTAAAAATTCATTGTTACTCAGTGTAGTATATTACAATTAAAAAAGAAAAAAATCGAGACCTAAAATATTTATTAAAATTTCTTAAAGATTTTTTAAATTATTTTTTTTTTTTTTTTTAGTTTCAGATTTTCATTGTCAATTGACTCGCTTAGTTCAGTGTGTTTGATCTACGCTTTTTTCGATGAAGCAAAAAGTAGTATTTTCCAACTTGCATTCAACATTTAACAACAATCAAAATTTGCAAATTCAACATTCATTTGGAGCATAAAAAGTTGCCATGCAGATTATGAGATGTGTAGAGATACATATTTTTTTTTTTTGATTTTCGCACGATTTTTGCATGTATATATATGTATGTATGTTTGGGGACACATGCTGCGCATGTTTGTATGTATTTATGTAATTGCATTCATCTCCACTTTGCTAAACTTTAAACCGTTTACATCTTCTACATACATATTTTTCAACTAGCATTTTTCTAACATTCAATATTTTTATATACTTTTTTAATATACATACATGCATATGTATGTAACAATTTTAATTCGACTTTGAAATTCACACAAGTAAATTCTTCAAAAGTGAAAAAATTCGATTAACATTAAATGTTTAACAATTCGGTCAGTTTACTAATTAGCTGCGCAAACGTAAATAGATGCACAGTTTTATTTTGCGTTTAAAACACAAATAATTGCAGACGATTTCAATATTTTGATTTCTCATTTTTTTTTCTAAGTATCATAAGCATTTAGCGCATTTGTTAAACTTTTACCTAAATATTGTATATTTTTTCTGTAAAATTCGTTTAATGTAAAATTTGAAACATTTTGTTTTTACTTTTAAAAAAATAGTAAAGATAAGCATGAAAATGATTAACATCCATTAATATTTTTTTTTTTTCAATATTCAGCTTGAAATCAATCATAAACATTTAACAGCATTTCAGGCGCCTAATGCAACGTTTAACTCTGACTGAAGAAACAAATTTGCCATTTTTTCCTTCCTTTTTTTTTAGTGATGTAGTCTATTTACCACCATCCACTTTCCCCAGTCTTCAATTTCATTACGCTTTTAACCATTTTGCAGCTGTTTATTTTATATCTATGTATGTATGTCGCATCCTTCAGCCATTTCCATTCGTCAATAGTCGCAGAGTGCGGTTCCTTTTTTTTTTTGCTTGCCTCCCTCAAACACAGCTGAATTTGATGCCATCATCGCTGGAATAACAATTTTGGCAGTGTAATTTGTGATTGCGCACGCGCACATCCGTTCCATTCAAGCCATCGCCGAGCTGTACGTGACACACGCAACACTTGAAGCAATTGATGTGATAGAAGAGTAGCAGCGATTCGATGATCATGGCGGCGCCGCGTCCTGGACGAAGCCGTGAAACAAGGAATGTTAATCATATTGATTTACTTAGCAAGAAAAGAGAGTTTTTAAATGTGGTTCACTTTGGTTGACTGTGAGTTTTATTTTGTATAAATGGATATAAGATGATTGGCACGCATTAACGTTGTTAATTTCAATATCAGAAAAAGTTTTATTATTCCCAAAGTGACAGAACAAACTGGTAACGCTTGAAAAAACTGATGTCTACATAAATCAGGCCAAAAAGTTCTGAGTTAGTGCATTCTGGATATGCATCTGCACCTAGGAAGCGCTGAGACTGATAGATTTGAAATTATTTCAAGAATGAGTGTAGCACATACATATGTACTTCATCACCACGATTCTTATCTTATTTGTATGTGTATGTGAATCAAAAGAATAAAATCGCGATTGGGTCTGCTTTATGGATATGTCGATTCATTAGACAAGATATTTTAGTCCACCAATAGCCCAATGAGACAATAGATTCAGGATTAGATTGTGAAGAAATGAGCCTTGAAAATAAATGTGAAATAATTAGTAAAAATTCCCACGAGAGAAAGTCGGAGCTCCCTTCACTACTTGTGGACTTCTCTTGGAAATGAAAGATGAGCCTCGGGTAAACTCAGCGAACGATGGAGGAAAACCAGAGCTGAGATGTACCGGTGCAAAGTCTTCCTGGCCGCGGGTAGGCCGGAGGCGGTCTAGCGATCTACTTAGGCTTGTGAAGCGGACTCTCTCAATTCGGGTAGGTGTACAGAGAGGCCAATGTACTAACGATAGGTGGGGAATCATCCGAAAACTTTCCCTTAGTTGGCCCAGCTTTTTGGTACACTGCGGCTTAGACGAAATTTCGTTCTGAGAACGCAGCGATTCTTGCTTTAATCCAGCTGTTACTGTTCGCAGCGCTATCACAAAGGACCAATGCGCACGGTCTAAATGAATGCCTTAACCTTACCTAACCTAAAATGTGAAGAAGTATAGTGGGCCAACTTTCGTCGGAACTATTCGACGGGTACTGGAACCATCTATACAGACCCTTTGTGCTTACTATGCCAGCGAGACCTAACTAATGCGGTGGCTGTATTTACTCGCGACATTATAAAAGAGCTAGGAGCAAGTGTTTCTCTGACAGTCAGAAGATGCTTCTGTCTATCTGAATTTGATGGCTTTGACAGCAGGAAATGTTTGCGTTAAATATTTGAAAGCTTCCATGTTTTGAAGCGTGGAAACTAATACCAGCTTTAGGACGAGCACGTGGGCTTTTTCTAATCGAAGGATTGCCTGATCAAGCATGCAATTTATTTATCTTTGGCAACCGGTCCATAACGCCTCTAAGTCATCAGACTCGGCGATTTTTTTCTCTGCAATAAACTAGTTTGCTATAAGTCAGGTCCAAAAGAGAGAAGGTTTCTTTTTTCGTCTTTTCAGAACTAAAAATTGTCTATTTCATACCAGATTCGACACTTTCAATGCAATAGGCTCCAAATGCCATTGTTTTGGAAATGCGCATTTTTTTTTTTTTTTTGTTAAACTTAGATCTGTAGAACGCCCTAAGAGGCGATATCTGTTATTTTAAATGATTTGCAAAAAGAAATTCAAATTTATCAATTAGAACCTTTGCATTGATGACACGATATGAAAGTAACATCTTCACATAAACCAACAAGAACACTAAAAACATACTTTGCTATTTTACAATACGTTTTTACACCCAAACTATATATTTGAGTGCTTTATGTACATGACGACAAGTTGTTTCCGTGCAGCCGTGGGCGTCTGCGCACAGCGGAAAGGCATGTAAAGAAGAAATATGTGCATTAAAAATCGAAAATGAAAAATTCAATGGTCAAACGAGATATACACTTAGGTAGCAATAATTCAATAGACTACACAATGAAGGCAGGAGGACGAAAGTATTTATGTACAACAGTCAGCAAATAGTTACGGTTGAACGAGTGGAATACTTATTGATCGAGATGTGAGTGGTTCGTTACACCGAGGAGCGATAATGCTTTCAAATTCATTAATAGCTTATGAATGACCCATTGAATGCTTTATGCTCGTCAATAGTGGTGAAGGTGTGATGCCCTGTGAACGATTCATGTCAACTACATGTACATATGTATGTACATATGTAAATTATTTTTAATTCAACTCAAATTGATTACTTTCGTTTAAGGAACATTAAATTTAAACACTCACAACCAACGTAGTAGCAAATTTTACCTAATTCGTCACCACAATGTGAACACTTTTTCTTGCCGCTGACGCTCAACACTTTATCCTGTTGCTGTGGTTGCTGCTGCTGTTGTTGCTGCTGTTGTTGTGGTGGTTGCTGATGAGCCGGCGAAGCATTCACATTCGTTTGTGGTGGCATTGCAGCAATTGTCGAGCCTACGCCACCGCTACCGCCAGCGCTGAGATGGCGTTTATGCGTTGGCGTTTGCGGCTGCGACAGCTGGTGTTGGTGTTGGTAGTATGTGGAGGCGGCGTGCAGCGGACTTTTATCCAAGGCAGTAGCGCTCTGCGTATTATAGTTGTCAAATCTATAGAATGCAATAAAACGGAATTAATTTCACGCAATCCTTCAGCTTATTCAAACAACTGACCTCTTTCGCTCACCAATACCCTTGCTTTGCACGCGTTCCGTCAGCGTTTGTATGATGGAGTCGGGTAGAGGTTTGCCATTGCTGCTCGTCGCGCTCTTCATGCCACCTGCCGCAGCTACAGCGCTGCCGTTCTGCTGATGCACCGGCGTTGTGCCTGTCGAGCTACCGCGCCGCTGCTCTGCTATACGCCGCTGTTCGGCCTCCTGTACCAGCCAATGGTTGTTGTAGGCATGGTATGCCTCCGGCAAGGATTTGCGTTTCTGTTGGTAAGCGGAAAGCCAAGCAGGATCGTTGGCTAAATTCGAATCGAAAGACTTGCGCTGCTGTACTTGCACCCAGCCGTCGGTGTACTTGGGTTTTGGTGTGGCACTGAGCGCAAGTAGCGTGTTGCGCGACATATTGCCAGGCAAGGCTGGATGATGGCCGTTAGCGACGGGTGGTGGTAGCGGTGCAGCGCTCACTGCGCTGACGCTGCCGCTGCTGATGCTTAAATTCTGCGTCGATTGGTGGTGATATTGCTGATTGGAGTAAATGGTGTGACCGCGCGGCGCTGCAGTGGGTGCGGCTATTTTCACCAGCGAACCACCGTAGCCTTGTGCGTTGAGCGAATGTCGTTGCGCAGCCAGTTCATCAGCTGTGTTGGCTGAGTTGGCCACGTGCATGGCGCGCATCGGTTTGGTTGGTGGTGTGGGCGGCAGCATGTGCCGCTTGGAGAACTCTTGCAGATCAGACATCGATTTGCGGTAGTCAATGTCCACCTGGTAGTACTGCTGCTGCAAATTCGGCACATTTGCGTAAATCTGCTGTGCCGGCTGCGCGGCTACCAGTGGCGCGCCGAATAGTTGTTTTGGTGGCTGTTGCACGCCATGATGCGCAGCAAGCGCATATTGTGGCACGGCTGTTTGATAGGCTAAATTTGTTGCAGCATTCGGCAGTGGTAGACCGGCGCCGCCACTAGCCACTGACATACCTACACCGTTTAGGTCCTGCAATGAGCGACGATTGGCGGACATGAGCATCTTGGCGCCATGTTGTAGCTCACGTCGTGCCATGTTCTCGCGCAGCATTAAATTCTCCCGCTGGCGCTTCAGTTCCTCCTGTTCGAGCTGCAGCAGCTCGCGCTCGACACGCAACACCTCCTCCTGTTCGCGTATTTTCTCCTCGATGGAGAGCATTTTGGCATTGGCGGTGGCGGTGGCCTCGGTGAGTGATTTGGTGGCCGCTGCGGCGACGGTGGCGGACTCGGTCCACGATTCGGCGCAGTTGCCCTTGACTGTTTGCAGCAGTGGCGTTTGCACGGCGCTCAGCAGCGCTTCATTCTGATAGACGAGCTCATTCGACTTGAGGCTGTGTGGCGGCGAGTCGATTTGCCGATCGTTCTCCTCCGACGAGTTTGTGTAGTGTTCGCTGCTCTGACGTGAATGATTCTCGGAGACGCCAGAGTCGCGGCTCTCGCCTAAAATTAAAGAAATTGAAAAAAAAAAATAAATAAATGAAAATATTAAAATCAATATTATTAAAAATTACAGCACCCACCTGTATCTGAGCTATCGCACAGTCCCGCCTTCAGGTACAATTGCTTCTCCAATCGTCGCTCTTCCTGCAACAGCTGCGCCATATCGGGCGGCGGTGCCACCGTCAACTCCAAATAACTCTCCTCATCGTCCAAATTCGTCGTGTCGATGCCCAGAAAACTCGAGCGCTTATTACGCAGCTCCTTCTTGATGCGCTTGGTCGAGTTCATGCGCTTGATGGGCGGCGAAGGATGATCGGCCGCCAGGCCATTTACGTGTGGCAAGCGCGATGAAATCGTCTCGTAAGTATTGTCCGACGACCAAGTGTCTGTGTTATTGTCAATGCTGTCGACATCATCGAAAGGCGGCGGCGATTCGATGGGCGGCGGTGGTGGCTTCTCCTTCGGCGGCTCCAATTTGAAGTTGCCGTTGAGTGCGGCGCCAGTGCCGCCTGCCAGTGTGGAGTTCTCCAAGCCGGTGTAGAACACCTCGATGTTCTCGTAAAGTGGCACGGGACGCAGGTGCTTGGGTGCATCGTAGTAGGGTTCGCTGGACTGGGGCACCTGGTAGTAGGGCTCGTGATCTGCCAAATCGGTTGGGTTGGGGGCGAGCGCGTGCTCAGGCGTTGTCGAGTTGGGTTTTGTGGAGGAAATTAAGGAAGTGTGGGATGGTAAATTCTGCTCCGTTTGCAGCGTTGCAGTGGATGGCGTTGTTGTTGTTTTTGTAATTGCAGCATTGTTGTCACTAGCATGCGCTTTTTCATTGGCTATGAGCGCTGCAGTAGCTGCAGCTGTAGCTGCTGTGCATGCGCCTGCAGTTGTTGTTATTGTTGTTGCTGTTGCTGTTGCTGCTGTTGGCATGCCCATGGCTGTTGTTATTGTTGTAGCATTAGCGAAAGCATTGGTTAATTCAATAAAATTTGTATCGACATTACGCCGCTTGTTGTTGTTGCTATTGCTGTTATTATTGTTGTTGCTAATGTTAGTCAAATTACTTAGCAAATTATTATGATTACTATTACTGACATTATTAGCATTCGAATTATCAATACTAATATTATTATTGTTGTTGTTGCTGTTCATATTATTGTTCAATTGATTAATTTGATTAACCGCTAGATTATTCACATCTCGTACGTTGCAGACTTGGTTGTTGTTGTCATTCAATGCGCTCGCCGAAATGATTCGTATTGCCTCAGCATCTACTTGGCGCGTAGATGCTGCCGAGATATTCTCGTAAATGGGTTCCTGCGAAATGAGCGCCTCGCGGGCCATTTCCGCCGCTTTAGCGTCATTACGTTCATAATCATTGTCGGGAACGTAATTTGATGTACTGTTGTTGCTGATGTAGTTGTGTGTAGTTGCAACGATTTGTTGCTTGGTCTTCAGCTCTTTCTCTTCGTCGGTTTTATTTGTCGCCTCCTTTGGTGCCAAGTTTGTGGTGATGGTTGTCATGTCTGTTGTTGTTGTTGTGGTCGATATTGCTGTGCTTTGATGGTTGCTGGTAGCGGTGTTCAATGTTTTGGTTGTTGCTTTTATTGTGGTGGTATCAATCATGGTGAATTTGGTCTCTTTGTCAATTGCTTCCAGCGCCAGTTCAAGAGCTTCGTTGATCTGTAGCGGCAACGGGTTTTTTGGTTTTTGGTTTTTTTGGAATCATATAACGGTGTCATGTTTTTTTATTTTACAGTTTATTATTTGTTTTTTTTTTTGAATTAGTTGCCAACATTATTATAAATTTCGTTTTTAATTAGAATTTTTTCAAATTCCAGCGCATTTCATTTGAATGAGTCAAATTAGCCAGTCAACAAGCACATGAATATATGAAAAAGACGAAATAATGAAATTATAAGAAATTAGTTAGTAGTCAAATACAGAATTCGCCATTGAATTTATTGAACAACTTATAAATAATGAAATACAAATGAAATTAATTATAAATGGCAGGCAGATATATGTATGTACATGCTGTTGTTAATGTTTACATATACATGCATTAGGGTGGTCCTTAAAGATGTAAACATCATGTGGTAGACCTCTATTTGGTTCTACGTACAAAACAAAGGCAACTACGAAAATGACAAAATTAAAAAAAAAATTGTGTGACGCTACCAGGCTTTGAATTTTTTTTTATTTGCAGGAATTCGACAAAATATTTACTTTTACTAGCTATAGCACAGAGAGTTTATGAATTTATATAGAAAGTTTCAACGATATTTCAAATTTTTCAGATTTCAAATTTGTGAAAATTTCGTGGAATTTTCGCGATTTAAAAAATTTGTAATTTTTTCAGATGCTGGTAGCGGCAACCTCTAACAATTTTTTTTTTTAATTTTGAAATTTTCATGAAGGTTTTTTTTGAGCGTACAACAAACACACAAACGGCGCCACATACAAAATTAAGCTGTTGACATTTTTAAGCACCATCCTAATGTACATATTTAATAGCTAAACATTTAATATAAAAATTTAAATAAATTTATACCACTACATGCAAAATGTTGAAAATATCTATGAATACAAATGGGCAGCGTTGAATAAGCGGCGTTAGCAAATGTTATAAATTCGTTAAGCTCCATCAACAGAAAGAAAACAGGAAATAAAAAAAAAAATATGGGTCTTTAGTATCGATCACCCAAATAAAATGCAATTAAAATCAACATTTAAATATGTATATAGGTATGTATATATTGTATATGCATGCATACGTAGGTGGACACATGTGTACACACATTTCACAAAATCAATATGGAAGTTTACGGTTGTAATCAATTGGAAGGTGGACAGACAAATGTGAAATTAGCTGTGCATATAAAGAACAAGGCCCCAGAAACAGAATGGATACAAATACTATGTATGTATGTAAGTTCATGCATATAAAGTACACCCATACATATGTACATATATGCTTACATATGTACATGCGTAAAATAAATAAACGAGGTAAAGAAGTAAAAACAAAACAAGTGCCAATGCGAAATGATAACTCAGCTGATGAGGGCATGCACAGTGGTGTAGATAAATTAAGATACATATATGCCGACCTCCTCATGTTATCAATCAAATAAAAAAGTCGTCTGCATATAATGATCCCTGGTGTTGCAAATTTCTGGTTCAGAGTTAGAAAGCATTGCTTGCGGGTTAATTAGTTAAAAAAATAAAAAAAGAAGTAAAAAACCATACAATTTTCGATCCGAGGATCTTTGGCGGAGTTAACTAAATTACTTTTAAAATTTCGAACTGCAGCAGAGCAAATCTCTATTTCCTATATTCATCAGTTTTCTCTATGGAAAAAAATGTATCGGGAATTATATGTGTTCGTAATTGTACTAAGAGCGAATCAAATAAGAACTTGAGTATTTCCCCACAGGGAATGCGTTAAGAAAAAATGCGTTATAATCTAACTTAACAAATCAGCACTAATTTAGTTATTTTCAATGTACTGCTGAGTACACCATTCGGCTTTAACTAATATGCAATTTCGCAAAATTTTTTTATGAAAAAAACCTTTTTTTTTATTTTTCTTAATAAGTAGACTTGAAAAGCTTTATGCTTTTTTCTTTTTATTAATAACATCAATTCACATTTTGATAGCACATAAAATGCATATTGATGTCGAGGGCATAAATATATTCAATAATCTCGAAATGCAAATCTTTCAAAAAATGAGCTACTGAAATTAAAACCTACCTAAGAATAACTAACTAAATTAACATCGATTATGTTGATTTTATATTTACATGCACTTGTGGTCAGCTGATTAAGTTAAGTGACATTTTGACCACTTTTGACGATCTTTCTTTTGTTTATTCAATGTTTATAATTTTTTATAAAAGTCTAACACATTACATAACCAGCACCACATAATGCCACCTTTCAAACTTCGTTCAAAAATTTAAAAAATTCAACAAAAAAAGACGCATAAAAAAAATTCTGCGAAGAAAGGCGCCTAAATTTAGTCGACGACGAAAAAAGACGCGAAAACCTATTTTCGCGGTCAACTATGTTTGCGGGTAAATAGTTTTTGGAGTATAATGCAGAAGTAACAGTCCTTGGCTCGGTATAAATCTATGTCTACACGTCTTTCTTCGCCGAAGTTTTTTTTACGCGCCTTTTTTCGACAATGCGTCCTTTTTCGTCGTCAAAACAATGGCGCGTCTTTGTTCGTGTCTAGCGACGTTTTTCCAGAACTTTAAGAAAAATTCTAGGTCTGCAGTTTTAGAGCCCATTAATTTTTAGTAGGTTAAAGTGCCGCTAAAAAATCTCATTGATTTTTAATAATTTTTTTGCTAACGGTACTAGGCATTTTTTCATACAAAAGTAACTGCCGAGTTTACTTTATATGGAAGGAAATGCACAACACTGTCAGCAAAAAAAAAAATAATATTAAAAATCAACGCGATTTCGTAGCTTCTTGAAATTTGCACTTTTTGTTGTTGAACTGTCGTTTAATTGGAAATTCTTAAACATAAATAAACAAACATAAGTGGCAAGCAATATCATTTTAAATTTGGTTGCAAATGATATGTCCAATGTTGTATGTGAAAAACAAACAAATCAATGCAAATTCTAAAGGACAGGATAAAATTTAAAGCTTTTAACCAAATCAAATTACGATTTGCGTCAGACTAAATCTGAGTATATTCATTTAAGTACATCTGTATGTGTATGTATTAGGGTGCTTCTTAAAACGACAACATCGAAGTTTTAAAAATTTTTGAAATAATTTTTTATGGGTCGCTACCAGAACCATTGAATTACCATTGAAAAAATGCTTTTTGAGCTCAGGAAGTTTTCGACATAAATATATAAGTTGTGTTTTCTTGGGTTATCCAGCTCAGTAGCACGATCATTTCTCACGGAAACGATCTGGATCATTCTTATTGCGGCAACACTAACTGTACTACTACTATGACAAGGAAGACGAAATTATAAAATTAGTAAGTACCTGGTAGCGAGCCCTAAAAATTATTTGAAAATTTTCGTGGATAACTTTAATTTGTACGTAGAACGAAAAGAAGGGGTATCCCATACAAAACAAATTTTAATTTGGTTATTTTAAGAAGCACCCTATAATGTACACATATGTACATATATGTATACGTAAATGCGCACCTATCCGGATTTGCATGCTTAAATTAATATGTACGTGAATACATTGTTGCAATTGTTTAGAGGATTTAATTGGCGAGTGGCTTCTTTTGAAATCCCTTCTAATACTGGCACTCACTATGCCTGAAATTAACGCATACTTAAGTATGTATGTATATACATATGTATGTATACAATAACCTGCACATGCATGTTGTTGGTGCATATTACACTCCTATGCTGATAAGATCTATCCATATCCATTACCTGATTACATTGATATATTGTTGTTATACCCGGCGGCCGTTGTAGCCGAGTGGTTAGAGGTACTACCACTTCGTAGGACCAAAATAATTAAAAAAAAAACTTTTAAAAAGGTTTTTCTATTAAAATTTCAAAATTTTAATGGTAGATGTAAAAATACGAATAATTGGTTTATTTTACTTTTCTACCAACTTTACTAAAATATATATTTTTTCACTATGGCCAATTCATTGGCATTTGTGATCTATTGGGTAAAGCTACGAAATAAATGAGTACATCATTAATATAAGTATGTATGTACAAACAAAAAAAATATCGGTGCTCAAAAGCAACAAAGTCGATAGGCTGTCATCACTGCTTTACGCCATGTCTCCACCTTCTACAGAGTTAAAACGGAAATTTTACAGATGTTAAGACACATTTAGTTGATGGTGGAGATGTGGGGTTACACACATTCAGCGATTTTTTTTTTATTGCGGCTCCGAGTGACTGATTAAGTCACATTGAGTGATGACATGTTGATAGTATTTACGACTTATTATTAATGTCATAAAATATAATAAGAAATGCTTATCAGCCGGTGCAAGACAGTTGAAATTTTGAAACAAAAGTAGAAGAGTTTTCTGCCCGTTGCTTAAATCATAATTTCCATTTTATTTTCAATTACACCAACTTACTTTTTTTTTTAAATTTATGTATATTTTTTCTATAAATAATCAACCTTATCGTAATTTTTCGCATCGGTAAGTTAAGTCGTATTCGTCAGTTATGTAAGTAGAAATTTTCACATCCCAAATCTTTGCAACTAAATATGTATGTATTTGCCGGATAACCGCAGAAGATTTTTTCGAGCTTTTTGGTGAGAATAAGAAATTAAATACAGACTTTGTGCTTTCGGCTCACAACTAAACGAGAAACCGAAAATTTTTTTGTAGTAACAAGCTATAAATTAATATGAAAATGATTCTCTATAATATTAGCTGGGTGCGCTATGAAAATTTAGTGAATCTTTGAATGCAAATAGCAATTTTTTAGGAAATAATGTCAGATTTCCACTAGGAACTAATTTACATACATAATTTTGAGTGACACAGTCGGGCATTAAAAATGCTTTTTTTTTTTCTTGAAATTTTGTTAATTTTAATGCCTTGTCATTAAGTCTGTTTACACATGCCATTTTTAAGTGCTAATTTTTTTTTAAATTTTCGTATTTTGAATGCCTGGCGGGAATGCGCGATAAAAAGTATATTGCCGTAAGG